AAGTAGAAGTAAGACAGTCAGTTCATGGATAAAGGGACTCACACCATTCACAACCAAGGACTCGTTGTACCGGGGTGCTCTTTCACTTCATTTCACCGTTGGAACCCCTTTTTCTCACTTTCATTTACATTTTTTCTTTCATTTGGTGGAGTTCCAACTGCAGTCTTTTGCACGGTCGACCCTTATTAGTCGAGCAAGAGCAATTTCTGTACATCTGGCGCTCGCCAGAGTACTTCTTTTAACTCCTTTTCCTCAACTCGTGTGGAGGGTCAATGAAATTAAGGGGGGTCGGAAGCTCTATCCGTGCCCTTAAAAACACATCCTCGAGTAGGCAAACCGCTCAACGGGTGGAAGTTTTACTTGTACTAGAGACAACTTAGCTTCACCTTGTAGGAGTACCCCACTAAGGATCACTAAAATCTCTTCCAAAACCCGATTTTGTGCAATGAACGGTGCCACACACGTTGGGCTTACCCCATGTTTAAGATTTAATGATTTTGACATGGAGGACCAACTGCTTCCCATTTTCCATATGAGCACCCTGTTCGATACACGAGTCCATAACACAATCCAAATAGAGTCACCATTACCACATGAATTCAACGGTCTTAGCTCCACTAATTCACAAAATCAACTGACACAGCAGGGAGCTAGATAGGAAAAATCTTATACTTCAACATCCTCCATAGTGCTACACTACCTCCCTAGGTTGCACATTACTATAGAGACTGTCAATTCAAAGCATACTGAGCAGGCAATTTGCAAGGAAACACGTACTTGGAGCCCTCAAATTTAAAAATTTGGACAGTGGACTAGGCTCCAAGCACACAAACAGCCAAACATTCACCCGCATACATAATTGAACATCCCCCCACACTTAAGCACGACATTGGCCTCAATGGAGGAACGATAAGGAGGGTAGAACGAAGTTACCAGATCAAGGGTGAATGATGGTGGACGGGGCAGGCGGTGCATTCCAGGAAGAGAGAGTAATCAGAACACAAACACCACACAAAATCTCACAAAGGTTGAGTTATTGACTCTAAAATCAAATAACAAAACGGACTCAACCGAGGAGAAATAGATAAAGAAATGCAAACCGACTGGTTGGGTTGCCTCCCAACAAGCGCTTCTTTCACGTCGTGAGCCGGACGATGGCTCCTAAGTTTCGGTCCACCCCAGAACCTCTTTGAAGTTGAGGTTCTCGTCAATGAGGTGGAGTCTCAAGTCACGAGCATGTGGTATGACAGGTGATGGAAGCTCGTGCACTTGATGCAGATGAAGTCTCCACCCTCGAGACCTCTTCTTCTCTTCTCTCGTCTCATTGCCCCAAACCAGATATGACAGCATCGATTGGCCACCACCGCGTCCACCAAGAGGGACCGATGTCGATGTGGCCTTGGTCTGGCAAAGAGACACTGCAAATGGGTCCTTGCCAAGCAGCTCCTCGAAGTTTGGTGGAGATATCACATGTAACTCATGGCCGGTGCAAACCTCTTCCACCTCAACTTCGTCCTCAGCCTGGACGCCAATTGCTTCTTCAACCTCCCTTTCTTCTTCATGTGGTATCACCCCTGAGAAATGATCAAGAACTCTTTCTGCTTCACTTTCGTCATCCTCCACAACTTCTTTTTGCACCCTTTCTCTCTCTTCTTCTTCTAGCACGGATTGGAGAGCAAGTTGCCAAGCAATTTCTCTCATGAGATCTTCTTGCATCTCCTCACTCATGCCCACCTCTTCAAAGCTCAGTGTGGGGTGCGGGAAAGGGTTGTCGGCTACGACAGGACATTCCTGATCATGATCATCTCGGGAGCTCTCCGTGACAACTTCTGTGTGCTCCACGATGTCCTTGTAGCCTTCTTCTTTCTCGTCCTCTTCTAGTACGGTAGCAGACGGGTGATCTTGAGCAAGTTGTGAGCAAACTTGCAACACCCACTCTGTTTGCTTCGCTGAGCGTTGAACAGCCTCCTCCATATCATGGAGATATGAGGGATCGGAAGAGGAAAGGGCTTGGATGTGAAGATCCATTCTGCGATTGCGTCTCTCGGAGTCCCGAACAAACTGCTCCAGGAGAAGCTTCAGTTCATAGTTTGGATCTGGCTGTGGAGTGTAGCATGGCTCTGCAGAATGGCCCGTGAAGGCCGCCATGGGTAACTCCAGCGCTGATGGCCCTTCTGGTTGTGGGAGAAAGTCTTCTTGGTAATGAGATTGTTCTTGATATGCCCAGGGGTCAGATTGTTCTCCATAGTAAGGGGGTTGGTACTGGAACCCGGATCCATAGTCTTCTCCTCCTTGATTGCTCCAGGGTGTCTCGGGGTAATACCACTCGGATGGTGGTGGATACCCCCAATGGTTGGAGAAGCCATGAGGATCCATGATTCAGATCTGCACCAACAAAAACTAAAACACCCAAGTGAAAAGCAAGGGTGGAAAACAAAAGAAAGCGCTAAAGTAACAAACTTCTGCCTTTCCTAATAATCTAGAAAGTCCCCGGCAACGGCGCCAAAAACTTGACTCGCTAAAACACAACACCTAACAATGGCCAAGTGTAACTAATGAAAGGGACTGCAGTATAGTGGCTCAAGTAATAAATATCGAATCCACGGGTCTCTAGAGTTACTATTACTCAGCTTCAGTTCGTTATCTAGCAAAACAGATTAAGTTGAAAGAACTAAAACTACTCTAGCAAACTACAGTTAAAGTTAATCTAATTACAGGTTGGGAACTCACTTAGGTATGATTCCCCCTAGCCACTAGCCAGATTAATGATTGATGATTTCTAACTTGTTTCACTTTCATTCACAATGCGGAGAATCCTTGACTAGACCTTGAGTCTCGACTAAAGGAACAAGGCCCTCTTGAGTCAATTGCCTAGAGGGACGTATCCTTCTCTAGAACAACCGATCAAGGCGTTCTGAACTAGATTCCCTCTATCAAATGAGGTTCTCAATCGATACAAAGCAGTGAATCAACCCTCGACTAAAGCAATTGATCCACTACTATCAATCTATGGTGCTCTATTGACCTAATCAGGTATTCGCTCTCATAGGATCAAAGCAGAATCAATAATCTCGACTAAAGCAGAATTGAATCATGAAAACATGCATAGATTGAATATGAACTCAAGATTATCAAGTCAGAGTACTCATACAATCATCCAATCAAACAAACATGGCTAGGGTTCCTCAAAACCTAAGTGAAGGGAAGTTACTCCATAGAGAAGAGAGAGACTGCAGAAATCTGATCTAGATCTTCAATCTCCATCTCCAAGCTTGATTCCTGAGCTCCCATGGCGAAGAAATCCTCCAAAATAGCTCCAAGAATGTTCCCAAGTCGCTCTCTCTCTCTAGGGTTCGTCCCTTGGGTGTTTGGGATCCAAAACCCAGCTCTCCTCCCTTTTGGCTCGGATTAGGCTTAAAAACAGGCTTCCCCGAGTTGCACGGCCAGGTGCACGGCCGTGCACAACACCATTCTGGTCGTGCACCCTCAAAACGCACCGTTTCACTTAATCGATCTCAGCCATCTTGCACGGCCAGGTGCACGGCCGTGCAAGGCTGGATTTTGCCCGTGCAAGGCCTCGGCAGAGAGCGCACGGCCAGAATTATATGTTGCACGGCCGTGCGCCTCCCTGGTCTGCCCGTGCAGCTTGCTCAGCCTCTGTTTAATGCTTCGTTTCTCCCTCGTCCGGACTCCGAATCAGTCGCCGTTTGATCCCAGACGCTCGTAGTCTCGTCCTCTTTCGTTTCATAACAAGCTTGCATGATTCTCTGTCCATAAAGTGAGGTAGAAATCAATTCTTCTTCAGGTCATGCCCGAGTTTCTGCTCCCGAATCGCCAATTGATCTCTGATTGACTTGAAACTTGCGCCTATGCTTCACTTTATGTGCTAGGACCTGAAATGTGACAAAGGAACACAACCTAGCATAAAATAGGCCAAAGACACAGTAATTCAAGCTCAAACAATCAAGAAACAAAGGGGAAAACATGTGCAAATACCGAGTCATCAATCATCATGACCTACTGCGTCTGTAACGGAAACATCTTTCGTGGCATCCTTCATCGGTGCGAACGTCAGGTATGGAATGAACAACGTAGGATACGTAATTGTCTCCACTGTATTTAAGTTCAAGTACAAAATAAGCAACACACAAAGGCAAAGCAAATGCCAAGTATGGCTTCATATACATAGCTAAGAGCCAAGGTTTGACCAACTAGTTAAAAGTGGGTGGGGGGATTCTGTGGTTTGGTATTAGGAGTAAATCTCAAATTGGATTAGACCAAAGCCAACCATTTAAACTGGTTAGTTTGTATGTATCAAGTACATTTAACTGTCACTTAGTTTTAGAGTCCATCTAATAAACCATTCGGGACGAATTTGACCTCTAATTCATAATGCATGCACTAGTTCATATTGCGAATCATTTGCTTTTGGTGATCGTGTTAAGTATGGACGGGTTCTATGGATTTGATAGAGCCAAAATGCTTAAGGAAACCCAACTTAGAGACTGTCAAGTTCTCCACTTCAGTACAAATTGCTGTTCTAATAATAGGGATCTCGCAACCAGCTAATGCCAACTACGTTCCAACTTATTCGCATGAGATATCAGCAATAGCGACCACATTGAAATCGTCTGTTCTATTTTTTTTTTTGGTCGTACGGAAGGAATAAATCGTCTGTTTTAGAGGGTGCAGAAAAGTTGGGAATCGGGGAGGATCCTTGGATCTGATTGGTAGTCCTTTTGAGCTTATTTTTGGATGGGCTTCAGGGCTGCAAAGTTGGGCCCAATGAGATAATTTCGAGTTCAATTAACGGGGCCCAAATTGTAGACGAGTCAAACCTATGGATCTCATAAACGATCTTTTTCTTGACCATGGTTTTGCCTGACCTGTCGTAGAGTCGCCACTCTCGAGTTGTCCAAGTCGCTGCGGCTTATTTTGGCAGCTTCCAGGTTTCCACATTCCACTTTGTTTTGGTGATAATTTCTCCATCTTTTCCGATTACGATTTTCCGAATACCAAACACCTGTCTTTGTTTCTCCCTGCCACAGCGACGACCTCATCGCATCGTCAATGGCTTCCACACCAGCGCCGGCGTCGTCTCCAATTTTCATCGACGCCGAATCCCTGCGCGCCACCCTATCCCACAGCTCCTTAATCCAACACTTCCAGACCTCCCTCCCCGCCGTCGCCGCCACGCTCCACACCCCAATCCGCCAAAGCTACGCCGTTTCACCAACCTCCAACCTCCTCCTCATGCCTTCCTGGTCCACCTCCCCTTCCTCCTCCCTCCCTTACATCGGCGTCAAGCTCGTCACCCACTTCCCCCAAAACTCCCACCTCCACAGCCTGCCCGGAATCCACGCCAGCTACGTCCTCTTCAGCTCGGCCACCGGCCAGACCTTGGCCACTATGGACGGCACCCTCCTAACCCTCTACCGAACCTCCTGCGTCTCCGGGCTCGCATCGAAGCTCCTCGCCCGGGCCGACAGCCGGGTCCTCGTCATGGTCGGCGCGGGCGCCCTCGCGCCACACCTGATCAGGGCCCACCTCGCCGCCCGGCCGGGGCTGCGGGAGGTTATAATCTGGAACAGGACGCAGAGCAAGGCCGCCGAGCTCGCCGAGAAGCTGAACTATGAACTCGGTGGTGGTGGTGGTGGGGTGAGCTGCAGGAGCGGCGGGGAGGATTTGGACGAGGTGATCGGGCTGGGGGACATAGTGAGCTGCGCGACGAACAATGCGGACGCTGCGCCGCTGGTGAAGGGAGGGAAGCTGAAGCGCGGGGCGCATTTGGATTTGGTGGGTTCGTTCAAGGAGAACATGAGGGAGTGCGACGACGCTGCGCTGAGGAGGGCAGGGGCGGTGTTTGCGGATAATGAAGCGGCGTTGGTGGAGGCAGGGGAGCTGGTGGGCGGGTTCGAGAGAGGTGTGATTGGGAAAGGGGAAGTTGGGCTGCTGGTGGAGTTGATAAAAGGGGAGAGAGCTGGGAGGAAGGATTGTGATGAGATCACTGTGTTCAAATCTGTTGGTTCTGCTGTTGTGGACATGCTCGCCGCGCAATTCGCGTACGAAGCTCGAGCTAGGAAGTAAGGTAGAGAGGAAGGAAAGAATGGAAATGATGGATGTGCAGAGCTTGTACCTGGAGAGGAATTGAAGTGTGGAGAATGGAGCAGAATTTCTTTTGGTGATTTGAGTCTTTTCTTTCTATGCTAATCTATATTCGGCTTTCTCGAGCACTTCAGCTGGTTGGGCTTCCCTGTAACGGATATTCTCATTGTCGAAACATTTCAGCAATCGATTCCAACAGGGAGAATGGGATTCCAATAAGATCACCAGCATTTGAATAATTGATGATTGTGTTGCAAAGAAGTTATTTCGCAGAGAAGAGGGGAGAGAGGAGAGGGAGCATGGAGAGCTACTGATGTTCATTTTGCTGAGTCTCTTTTATGTTTCAGGGGCCTCTGGGTGATCCTTGGGTATAATAAATCGTTTAGTTGTCTCTCTGCGCTGTATTCTGAAGTGGCCTGCAAGTAATTGGAAGGAAATGAGTGAGTGGATCATTAGGAATCGGCAGACTTTTGGTACTGAGGAGGCGTTGAGATTGATTCTTAGTATAGTTTGTTACCCGTGAGTTGAATGCAAACCGCAATGTTTGGACTTGAGTTCCAGAGCAAACCCTCAAATCAAAACCCAGAGAATCCACGCCTATAAGGGTTGCTTCCTGCAAATCTCCAACAGAGCCAGTTAGTAATGTACACAGTGTTTGCAACTTGCAAGTAGTGTTTTTCTTTGAAAACCCTATGAATTGTGCAAAATGAAGGATTGCAGAAGTGAGGTATTAGTTTAACATTCAAACCCATACAACTGTAGAATTGGACTCTACGAACTCGCATGAAGATGTAATGGTATTTGGCATGGGATCAATGTATTTAGCATGGATTTTAAAATGTAATGGTTGTGGCGAAAGTTTTATCCACCAAACAAGGGTTTCTTGATGAACTTTCTACTTAGAGTTTTATGTTCAAATTCGTGAGCAAAATCCATGATCCAAACAACTGACTTGCATCAATTCCCTAATAAACAAGGTTTAAGCATATTACCTCAACTTGGATGCCTTTACATCTCCAACACAGAGATATCAGGGCTTCTGTGACCTTTTCACCACCATCTTTGAGACGGGATATGATCTTGGCTGATGAGTGAGCAATGACATCAGGCTTGGCATTCCTAAAATCGTCTGGTTCAACCGACGTCTGCACCCAAAAATCACATGAGCTGACGTAATTTGTGCTGACTGTAAGATTGTACATAAAGAGCCTCAAAGCCTAAGAAACAATTGTTATATCATTTACCGATGGGGACATAATCTGCATTATGTGAACATAAGAACATACTTGATGTCCATCAGCTGAAATAAGCTGGATCTTTATTGGTTCAAGCTTGTAAAATGAAGTCCCAGTCGCTGGGCCAGTCCCATCTTTCTCTGCCCTACCCGGAACATCTTCAGATGGTGCAGGCTCGGATTCCTGACCATTGATTGCAGCAAGATCATTTCTTTTGCTTTCTGCTTTCTCTTTCCCAACTTGATCTTCTTTGTCATTACAGAATTTATTACCAGACATATGCCTCTGGATGTCGGTATGTTCCTCATCAAATGCAGGTCTGAGAATGCCTTGTATGGCCAGACCAGTTGGTGGTTGCTTCATCCAATCTACAGGATCATCTGAAGCAATCTTTGACAGATAAAAATAAGGAAGAAGCTTCTCAGCTCAAGAGCTATTAGGTACTTGCTTCATCTTTCAGTAGAGACTTCCAGAGTCTCCCATAAAATTACCTGAGTCAGCCTTTTGGCAAAATACATTGGATGAGAAGAATCCTCATCTTCCCAGTCTTCGTCATCAGAATCATCATCCCCATCGACATCATCGTCATCTTCAAGGACAGCTACTATTTCCTATACACACAATTAGAGAATGCTCAATGGAACTGATCAAGGACATACAATCAGTTATGCAAGTTCCAAGTTGATCCGAACACAAGAAAAAGAGAAGAGTCTAGGAAACATCATATCAGACCTCATCATAGTCATCGTCATCATCTTCTTCTTCGGCATCACTATCTTCATCATCGATTCCCTCAAAATCAATGCCGGAATTATTCAGTAGCTCCATCTCACTGATCATGTCTTCTGTATCAAAGCCTATAATCGCTTGCTGTATGAACAGAAGAAACCTTCCAGATATTAAGACATGTACGAGAAATAAAGAGACATTGGAATGATAAAACTTGCAAGCCATTAGAAAACCGCAATACTATGCATCTCCCTCTACATTAATGGCCAGACTGCTTTTGTATGGCTGCCATGCAATGTCATAATGGGAAAAGGAAACACTTGACCAACAATATTATGTGCCAGAAAACTAGAGACTAAACTAGGGTTACTAGCAGTTGCAGGGAGATGTGTACCACATAGTTGTTCTTCGAAGTAAGTGTTTTCAATATGTCTTCGTCATTCTTCACTTGAAAATAGACATCTGCAACACAATTAAATACTTCAACAACTGGGACTCCCAAAAACCATAAAGGAAGTTGTTGCTGATTTACGCATACATAATGACGCCTGACTTACTTCCATATTCGTCGGTCACATATGGCATGTCTGGCCACATGATATTCTCATGAATTTCCTCATTGACCAAGTTGGTCAGCATCACATTAGCTTTGCTGTTCACCTGAATATGACTCACTACATACAGCGTTAGCCGTGCAAACGTAACACTCCAATACTAACTCTAATTCTTTGAAAATTGTCCAATCATGTCTTCCATTCTAAATATGATACCTCAACAATAGTCCTGCAGGTCTCTTCAGCTGTAAGCCTAACATCTCCACTACCTTTGGAGGCCGAATCGACAATCTCCTCAAATGGATGATACTGCACTTTGTCATTCTGCTCAGAGGGATCTGAACCGGATGCCAATTGTCCTTGAGATGCTCGAATCGTACTCTTTAATACAGAACCAGCTCTTGATCTCTGAGAGTTCTTCCTGTGGTGATGATAACCATATGAAACGATCCTTATCAAAGAGAACTCTAAGACATTCCAATAGCATTCGGAATTGGGATTAAGCACTCAGGAAATCCTCGAGTTCGGTAATGGAAATTTTTTCCAGAAATGAACTTTGATTTCAGTTTCGAATGCGAGTCTAGAACTATCGCAGCTGTAACAAGAAGAAAACTCAAACAGTACCACGGTAGGTCGAAGCTGGCCGTGCGTAGCTGCCGGCGAGTGGTGCCGCTTACTCTGCTACGCTCCTCCAAGTTTGCCGCTCCGTGATAATCTACAGTCGGAGATTCCGATCGCAACAACAAGGATAAGGCGTCATTCTCCGATTCAAAAAGCAAGAAAACTGCTCATGCGTGAAACTTAAGCTAATGATGGAAAGTGAATGAAAACTTCGAAGGCAGTATCGCTCCAGGAGCGTCAGTTGGAAAATTGAAGTAACCGGAGCTCAAATGGCGGGAAAACCGGGAAGCATTCAAGGACTCAAAAGACAGGAAAGTAACGAGATAGGACGGCGGAGGAATTTACGGGATAAGGTGGCGGACGAGCAGAAATTAGCGCCGGCGGCGAAGCGGGAGGCCGTCGCTGGTTCAATCGTCATCACCATCATCATTTCTCGGCTTGCTTCTTCCAACTATCCACCATTAACATTTAACCGTAGAGGAGCAACGGGGAGAGATCTACGATGAAATGAAACAAGGCGCTCTCTTTTGAAAGAGCCATTTTAATTTCAGAGATTACTGGATGAGGAAATTGCCCAGTGACCAGAGGCTCGATCGAACCCATAAAACCGGGCCGGATTTATTGGGTTGACCGAGCATAATTGCAAAACCGAGCCGTTTTGATGCTCCGGTTAAGGACTGAGGATGATGGAGGAATAACCTCAATCCGGAATTCCGGATCCGTTCTCCGGGGAAGAAATCGTTTTTCGGAAGCGGGGCAATAACGGTCAACCCCGACCCAACATATCGACCCGAGACCCACTTGCTCGGCCAGGTTGATGGTTAAAACCGTTTGATCTACAGAATTGAAGAAGCCTTGTTTGTGACTACGTGGCAAGCTTTTATTCGTTGATGAGGGATTGCATCCGACGACACATTGTCTAAGATAACACCACCAAGCCCCTGTAAAAGAAAAAAAAATATAGGAGCGCGCCGTTTTGACGAGAAAGGAATGAAAGATAGGAAAGGAACGGGAAATCAAAATATCAGCTTTTTTTTTTTTTTACTGTGAGACACTCCTTTTCATTACTTGCTTTGGAAGACAAGAGGGTTACAATAGAGGGGCAACAATATCTAAGATATGAATCCAATCCTGGGGCAAGCACTTTCTAGCGCAGGATCTTGCTACCCAATCAGCCTTTGTATTGAGCCTTCTACTGACAAACTCGACACGAATCCTGGGGACAGAAGAGATCATCTGCCTAATGGTCTTGATCAAGGCCGAAACACGCCATGGCCAAGGACCTGGACTTCCTTTGACAGCACGCACCAAAGTAAGGCAGTCCGACCGGACAAGACAGGATGAATATAGCTGGATCACACTTCGAGTACCTTCCAAGAGGGCCTTGGCTTCCGCTTCAATGGGTGAAAAGCAGTGTAAGGGCTCAGCCTTCCCATTACACACTTGACCATGGCAATTTGAAATGACAACGCCATATGCCGCCTCTTGGGAATCGTGTATGAAGGATCCATCACAGTGTATCTCAAAAACATGAGTACCTGGCGGTGGTGTAGAGTGATCCGGGGGTGAAATGGGCTGAGTGTGAGGTTGAGGAGATCTCCTCATTCGTGGGTAGGAAATCCACTGGTTAAAGCTGGACAAAGCCTGACTAGCAGTATCAGGCGGCCAAATACGCTTTTCTCTGAAGATGCATTCATTTCTAGCCTTCCAAGTATGCCACATTTGATAAATAATGTGCTGAATGGATGCCATGGAATACCTTTGCTTGAGGGAATGAATCCAGTTCAGAATGTTGAGGCTTTGATGTGGAAGCATTAAGGAAGGCCAGCCCTGCCTCCATCCTTCTGCTGCATGGTGGCATTCAAACAAGCAGTGATGGATGGATTCAACACTTGTGTTACACAGGGGGCACAGATTTGTTGGAGCGCACTTTCGGAGATGGAGATTCTCTTTCGTAGGCATTTCCATATAAAGAACTTCATCTTTGGCGGCAGCGAAATATTCCATAGCCACTTCCATCTTTCCTTCGTACAGGGTGAAGGATCATGGAAGTCTCCATGTGCTCTGCGTCTTTGATTATGGAAAGAATGGAAAGCTGACTTAACCGTGAACTCTCCCAGGTCTGTGTATCTCCATGCCCAGTAGTCTTCCATATTGTCCGGGCCGATTGGTGTACTCATGACCTGTTCGAGCTCCTGTTGGGGAAGGAAATCTTTTAAAACTTCAGTCTTCCAAGTTCTATCCACCTCATCGATCCAACTGTCCACTGTGGCAGGGTAGGTGGTCTGTTGGGGGAATATGCTTCCTTCTCTTCCAAAAAGCCATGGGTCCTGAAAAGTTCGAGTAGTAACTCCATTGCCAATCACTCGGATAATCCCCTGTGACATTTTATTTCTTGCCTCCCATAGGCTAGACCAAATCCAAGAGGCCCTTCCTCCTTTTTTTGCTTCTAGGAAGGTGGCTCGTGGGAAGTACAGTCCTTTGAGAAGTCTGACCCAGGTAGCCTCTGGGTTGGTCAGGATCCTCCACGCTTGCTTAGCTAGAAGAGCCATATTAAAATCATGGAAAGGTCGAAAACCAAGACCTCCTTCCATTTTAGGTGCATAGGGAGCACTGCCCTTGATCTAGTGAATAGTTTTCTTTGGGGTAGAACCTCCCCAAAAAAAACGTTTAAGCATGGAGTCCATTTTATTAGTAGTACCTTTCGGCAGCAGGAACAGGCACATAATGAAGGTTGGAATAGCTTGGAACACCGCTTTGATGAGAGTTTCTTTCCCTCCTGGGGATAGTAAGAGGCTTTTCCAAGCTTCCCCCTTACTTTCCATACGTTGAATGAGAAATCCGAATGTTTCCTTTTTTGATCTCCCCCATTCAGTGGGGACTCCCAGGTATTTGGAGTGGCAGTTGGAATCCGCAAAACCAGTCGTTCTTCTAATATCAGCTTGCTCCTCTCCGCTAACGTTGTGGCTGAAGAAAATCGATGATTTTTCTCTGTTAACCTCTTGGCCTGTTATAGCTCCATAGTCACTAAGAATTTTCAGAATGTGGCCCGCCTCTTCTGCTGTTGCCTTTCCAAAAATCACAGTGTCATCCGCAAACAGGCAATGCGTGAGAGCAGGGCAGTGTTTGTTGAGCTTCAATCCTCCAATATCGTGGGAAACCGCCGATCTTTCAATGAGGAAAGAGAGAGCATTAGAAATAAGAATGAAGATGAGTGGTGACAATGGGTCACCTTGTCTAAGCCCTCTAGAAGGCAAGAAGCTGGCAGAGGGTTCTCCGTTGAAGAGCACTTTGAAGCTGACTGAACCAATGCAGGCTCCCACCCATTTGCACCAGGTCTCACTGAAACCATAAGCCAGCAGGAGCTCATTGAGGAAATCCCATTCCACAAGGTCATAAGCCTTCTTCATGTCGAGCTTCATCATCATATCCTTTCGGTTTCCTTTCTTATGTTTTTTGAAATGGTTCAAAACCTTGTGGACAATGATAATATTATCTTGGATCTGTCTACCCCCTGTGAAAGCAGACTGAAGTTCCTTTACCAAGTCAGGTAACCATGGTTGGGGACGGTTGGTCATGATCTTGGTGATGACTTTGTATTTGAAGTTGCAGCAGCTGATCGGTCGATATTGTGAGATCATTTCAGGGGCTTCAACCTTCGCGACTAAGGTGATGAAGGTGTTATTCCAATCATGAGGCATCCTGCTTGAAGCGAAGAAACCTCTCACTTCCTCACACAGGGAATCTCCAATGTTGTTCCAGAACTTGCGATAGAAGAAACCAGGGAATCCATCCGGGCCAGGGGCCTTGTTTGCTCCCAGCTGGAACGTGGCCTTTCTGATTTCCTCATTCAGTAAAGGAGCTGTTAGGGCGTCATTCTGAGCCGCGGAGACCAGAGAAGGGAAACCCTGCAAAATTGAGTGATCAAAGCTGATCTCCCTGTTGGTGAAAAGGTGCTGGTAGAAGTCAGTGGCCATCATTCCCAGCTCCTCTTGCCTATCAATCCAATCCCCATTACTGTTCTTGAGTTTTTCAATTCTTTTTGAAACTCGTCTTTTGACAGTGCTGGCATGGAAAAAACCTGTATTCTGGTCTCCCTCTTGAAGCCAAGAGTTTCTAGACCGTTGAGCCCAGAACTCTTCTTCCTTTATCCATATGAGTTGTAGTTCATGTTGAAGTGTTTTTTCTTCCTCTGCCATTGCCAGTGATCTGTTAGGTCCCTGTAGGAGTTGAATGCTCTGTCGGATTTCTCTTTCCCTACGACACTTTCCTTCTCTGTCATTCTTTGCCCAAATACTGAGTTTCTCTTGACAGTTGGAGAGGGTATTGTGGATTGTGTCTCCTCTGTCAATTGTATCCATAATGATCTGGCAACAAGCCTCCTCTTCTCTCCATCTTTTATCAAAACGAAAAGGGGTGTTCACTCTGTGTCTTTTCGGGGACAAATCAATCCTGATCGAACAGTGGTCCGACTCCACAAAGTCTTCATGGAAGACAACCGCAGTAGAGTATTCAATCCTCCAGGATGCAGAGCAAAGGGAACGGTCTAGTCTTTCTCTAATGAGGTTGTCATCTTGCTGCTTATTTGACCATGTAAAAGGTTGTCCCGAAAAACCAAGATCGATGAGAGCATTCCTCTCAATGAAGTACTTGAACGGGCCTACATTCTCATTCCTTAAAGGGCATCGCCCCTGCTTCTCAAAAGGCTCCATAGCTACATTTAGGTCACCTAAAATCAACCACTTTTCATCCTGGATATCTCTGAGGTTCGTAAGTCGATCCCAGAGCATCCTCCTCTCTACCGCCGTGGTAGGAGCATGGATGAAGGTACAAAAGAAACTAACTCCTTCACTGCAAATACAAACATCCACAAAAGTTTTACAAGCATCCAAAATCCTAATAGCGACATCATCCTTCCACCAGAGGGCGAGTCCACTCCCTTCCTCCGCTGGGCTAACATATTCCGAGTGATCAAACCTCAGTGTTCTTCTCCTGCTGTCGAGGAAAGAGTCTTCTTTCTTCGTTTCCATGAGAAATCCGACTGAGGGGCCGAATTTCCGGCACAATCTGCCGCAATAGCTCCTTGTAAGGGGCTGGCCATACCCCCTACAATTCCAGCTTAAAATCCTCATTCCTGGCTTGGCGGCTTGAGGCATGCCGCCGTTTCCTTTGGAGATGGTGATTCTCCTTCTCCCGACTGGTTCCCTCATTGTTAATCTCAGCAATACTCCTCCTCCTTATGGTATTTCTCCTCCTTTGATAGGTCTTCTTGCTCTCTCCTGGGCTGAAAGACAGATTCTCAACAGGTATGATAGTGGGGGTGAGAAACAGGGGAAGAGAAAGAGATGGGTTGTCTCTGGTGTCTGGCTTCCTTTTTTTCTCCGGTCTGGTTCTGATCTCTCCTCGAGCTGGTGTCGCCGCAGTAGCTGTCGACGAGAAGTGGGTAGTTTCAGCCTGGACCTGAAGGTAGGCTTCCTCCGTTGGGCTTCCAAATGGCATGATTTGGGCCTGCACCTGGGTAGTTTCAGCCTGGGAGAACCCCGCTTGATCTTCCAATTGTCCTTATTGGGCCTGATGGTGGGCTTCATTGTTCTGGGCCGTTACATGGACATACTGAGTGTAGCTTGGGCTGGCAAGGGTTAGGGATTGACCCATTTCCCTCAGGCCTGCCTGCTTATTCCTCGGCTTCTCTATGCCTGTTAGGTCCAGGCTTTTCTGCAGAGCTAGTGTCGCGGCCTCCATCTCTTCTTCCATAAAGCCTGTCTGGTGAACTGTAATGGGATTTCTGGTGGATTCCCTCTGAATCCATACTAGTCCCTCTGGTGACAGTGCTGGAAAGCCTGGGGGGCACGAGGATGATCCCTGGCCTGTGCGTCCCACTAAAGACATCAGCGAGGATTCCCCTCGATATCCTCTCTGTCTGTGGGACCTTGCACCTTCTAGTGCCAGCTGCCTCGATTTTGCCAACTTTACTCGGATCGATGCCGGCGGTGTGTTTGCCGGTGAGTCATGTCCCGCTTTGAGAGCCGCCGTGTAAACTTCCGATGGGTCAATGCATAAGCCTCTTCTTCTATGATCCTCCATCAACAGGCAGTTCTGGATTAGGTGGCCAAGCTTTCCACAAAAATAACAAAGATCCATAATTCTCTCATACTTAAAGCTCACCCAGATTGACCTCTCCCCCTGAGGGTACTCAAACCCAATTGGGATGGGTTTATCGAGGTCCACTTCAACCTTCACTCTCACGAACTTCAACCAGCCTCTGAACTCAAAGTTCGATTGGTCGAGGCCATAGTAGTGGGGGAAGATATACTCAGCAACTGCTTGAATGGCTTCCTCATCCTTGAGTGACCGTGGTAAGTCGTGCATCTGGACCCAGAGTGTGACCGTGGGGATGTCCGAAGGCCCCGCCTTCTGCTCGCCATCCCACTTCCTGAGTGCGATTAGTGTGTTCCCCAGGTTCCAGGGTCTGGCATCATAAACCGCGTCCCTTTGTGTGGTATTTTGGAATGAGTAGACAAAAAGGTTGTCAGCTTCTTTCGTTGCCTGCACTTCGCCATAAGCTCGCCATTTGCTTACCGCTGTGTTTTTTGCTTTCTGTAGGTTGATGTTGGTGTCGGTGACCCATTTGCCCAGCAGCATAGACATGCCACTTCCTCTGGCTCCCGTCACTTTTGGCTTGACATTGAGGACTAGGTGGTTTCTCTCTCCTCTCAGGTGCATCGGGCTGTTCTCCATTGCCATTTGGGGGTGGGGAGGAAGGGTGCTTAGATTGTTGGGGAGTATTTGTGCTGATTCTCTGGGAAGGCTTTGGGTGTGTTTCATTCGAATGTGGGTAAGAAGATGAGGATGGTTTGGGAAACCTCTCATGATCCTCCTTAAATAGATGCGAGGCTTCTTCCTCCTCTTCTTTCTTCCTCTCGAGGCTGCTAACGGGGTACTCAGCATAGATTGCTGGGTATATCTCCCCTTTACCTCTTCTGGTCCTCTGCCGACCAATCCTCTTCTTTTCCTTTTGAGTGGCATGCTCCACTTCGCATTAATTTCCATCTTCTTTGTAGTGGCTATTTCAGGTCTGTTGTCAGTCGGCTGAACTCTTCGTTTCCTTTTGTTTCTAATGTGTCTCTTAGCCTTAACTTGCTGTGGCTGGTGGTATGTCAGTCTGACCTTCCTTCGCAGTATGTGGAGAATGATTGCTGCATTAACTACCCAGATCCTTCCGCAGAGTCTCCAATGGTTCTTCTTGGCGTGTGTATCTTTCTCGGGCCAGGTTCCCTCCAGTCTATCCTTCCTAGCTCCATTGCCTTCTGTGTACTGCGCCTTATTGAATACACCCTCTGACCTTGAGATTTCCCTCCCCAGATTTGGATTAATGGCATCCATCTCAGGTGGTTTGGGTGGTGGTTGCGCAGAAATCCCCTGGCCAGACTTGCCATTAATGGCTCTTCTCTAATCCAGTGACTCTGTTGAGCTGACCCTAGCATAAATGCTTGTTTCTGCTCCATAAATCCCCCTGCCCTGAGTTAAGTGATTGATGGAGGATTTGTCTGAGGGAGATCTTTGATCATTGAATGCTCCGAAATCGGCAGCTGGAACGGTTGTGTCAGATTGGCTGATATAGGAAGTGTATAGAGGAGGTTGAAGATGAGTGATTTTTCCGTTGGTAATGTTTTGATAGTCTATAGATGTAGGTGGGGGGAGAGGAGGAAGCATGGCGGGGTGTTCCCGATTTACTTCTTGCGGAGAGGTTGGGGGCGTTGATAGAGCAGATGGTTTATAGTGAGGTTGTTGGCTGGGGAACACTGATGAGAAAATGGCTGCTTTCTAAGGCTCTGGGTTTTGGTTGAATTTAAGCAAAAATGGCTGCAGAAATATCAGCTGTTTGGATGGTGTGATTTGACAAGAAAATCAGAGAGGAACATCACCGTCGAGAGAGTGTAGCGAACCAGAACTTCCTATTCTTAGCTTCTCTTGGAATGCTTTCTTTACGATACTGTCTGCCTCTTATTCCGACAAGATTGGAATCAATTGAAGCGTCGAAGAATAAGTGTGCGAGGAGATATATTGTAAAATTTCCTCTCCATTCGCTGCAAGTTGATTATACAATCTCGTGGTTCGATATGAGCAGAATTCTTACTGAATGGCGGGTGTTTGATGCAGATATGCGAGCTGAAAGGGCCGCGGCCAAGATATCGTCGAGTCTGGAAAAACAAAAACGAGAATAGGAACCATCTCCAACGCAGCCAAGCTAGTTGACTGTGTAAGTATCTCCTCCCCTTCCATCCTGCTTCCCTACGACGAATTTGATGCTGAAATGAATGATTGTATTCAGTAAATTTCACAACTAGAAGAACTGCACCCATGTATAAGATGTGTTGTTGGGTCTTTGGCGACAACCCGGGTTGTTGGGATGAATTGGTTCTTGAGCCATGGAATATGCTTGTTGATGTACTTCTGGCTTGTGTGGTGTGGTCATGTAGATAAAGGGATTGTCGAACTTGAAGGAGGAAGTGTATGGTACACTTTGATTCCTTTGTTGCTTGGGACTTGGAGTTCCCTCTGATTACTGTAAAGAAAACATTGGGGACTCTTGAGCATCAACAAGAATGGAAATGGATTATTCAGGTGCTGGGGTTCATCAATATTTTCCCTCTTTTTTATTGATTTAAGCTTTGAGGGTTGGTTGAAGAAAACATGAAATGGGGGGATCTGTAGGTCTCTAAGTGGATGCTAAATAAAGGGCAAGGGAGGACGATGGGAACATATTTCATCTTATTGAGTGCATTAGCCGAGGATGAAAGGCTCGGTGAAGCTGAAGAGCTATGGAATAAGTTGTTCATGCGGTACCTAGAAGGCATTCCCCGTAAGTTTTTGATAAGATGATGTCCATCTATTACAAGAGGGATATGCATGACAAGATGTTTGAGGTAGCCCTTTGAAATAGCTTTCCTGTGGTACAAAATTTGCCTGTGTGGTTTACTTATAATGATTATCTTGTAGATATTTGCTAACATGGAAGAACAGGGCGTCCAGCGTTTCAATAGTCAACATGATCTGGACTGTTTTCCAGCATCGAGGCACGTTGGACAAGTACGAGAAGTTGAAAGCCAAGTACCCTCCGCCGAAATGGGAGTTCAGGTACATCAAGGGGAAGCGTGTGAGGATTCGAGCGAAGCATTATCGTGAATATGGGAGTGAGAGGGGAGGGGGGAATAAAGCGGATGCTAGTCTTGATGACTCTAGCGAGATGGAGAACAATGAGAACCCAGACGAAAACAGCAATGAAGAAGAGACTAGCCTCGGCTCGAATGAGTTTGACGATCAACTGGGTATAGACTCAGACACCAATAGTATAAGTAGCAGTAGAAATGAAGGTTGGAGCAGGAGCGATGAGGCAGCATTTGCATCATATCAGTAGTCCATGGAATTTGTTGATGCCAGTTGAAGCCTGTAACGTCTTGAGATGAGGGCCAAGAGTTGATTATTTCGGACTTTGATAGAAACACGTTGTTTGTAGGTTTCTATTATTAATTATTAATTATGATAGGATAATTATTATTAGGGTTAGTAGTATTTTAGTAGAATTAGATTTATTATTAAGTTTTCTTATCTTTCGTATAAATATGTATTCTAGAGTTCATTATCAATCAAGCAAGAACAATTATTCAGAAAGTATCTCCCAAAACCTTAATATTCTATCTTCTAATTTCTCGATCCCAATCCCTCTAATGCTTCGGCCGATTCTACCTTTTTATTCTTCTTCTTCCCCAAATTTTCAATCTCAATCCCTATTTCTATCTTCTAATCCATAAGTCCCCGATTCTCTTCTCTAAATCACTAAATTCCAAATATCGATCCAATCCGCAAACCCGCACAAGAGGAAATCTGATCGACAAAGAAACTGTAAGAGTTGGCCGCTGAATCGAAACCTGTTCATGTCATCATTGTGCTGGGCTGCTGCCTGCTGGGGCTCATGTGTAGATGCAAAACCAAAATCATAGTTTTGGTAGAGGCATAGGAACTTTTGAAAGGCGGTGGGGCAACAGAATTCATGTATTCCAACTGAATAGTCTAGTCACCCTTCTACAAGATATATAAAGGCAAAACATGGGTTGAAATTCTCTCATTTCAAATTTCGTGGCCTGAGAGTGATTTTAGGAAGGTCATTTTTGTCATTGCACACAGTTCATCTATGTATAGAAAAAACATCTTCATTGGAGTTTGAACCTTGGTCACTTAAATAAGAAAGAGCATTATAACCAACTATGCTACATTGTCTTATTGTTATTTCTTTTATGGGTAAATACAATATATCAGCCACAACTATTATGAGCGATGAATGAAAGCCACAACTATGAAAATTCAAATGATTAATCATAACTATTGTTGTGGTTCAAGATATGGCTAACTGTCCGTACTGTTATTGAATTTTTAACGGAGAAGGCCACATCATCGGCCACGACAGCAGCCACGTCGGTCTGCTTTTAATTTATAACTTTAAAACATAAAAGTTTAGTTAGTATTACTAACGAAATTATTAACAGATATTTAACATTTGGCTAATAATTTGAATTTCCATATTTGTGGCTATAATTCCCCGCTTCATAGTGGTTGTGGCTAATATATTGTATTTACTCTTCTTTGATTAAACTCTAGAAATATATTTGGTGATTATGCTTCTATATTTATATTTTATCTTAAGTTATTTATATTTTGTAGAACGATATTAGTTTTGAAATCGGAACTCAAGTAACATTGATTCAAACATTAATATTAAATTGTATGTGTAGTTTAGTTTAGACAAATCACAGAAGTGTAACCAATACATGGGCCTTTATGACGAGTATTTTCATTTTTTGTGTCAAATATACACATAATATAATGACAAAATTGGAAAATAAGAGTCTCATTTCAAATTTCGTGGCCTTAGAGAGATCCTAGGAAGATTTTTTCGTCATTGGGCCAATTTATCTTTATATTATGTTAGATTGTCACAAAAACTTACTATATTTTTCACAAGGGTCCATGTTTTAGCTACACCTACATGTATGTTTTTGTCTAAACAGAATCATACATACAATTTAATGTTTAATGTTTCAATCAATATTACTTGAGTTCCGATTTCACAATTAATCATTTTCTATAAGATATAATAATCTCAGGTAAAATACCTTTCGTACTTGGTTGAAGAAGCTCTTTCTATAAGATACATTTAATGTTTTAAGATTTTCCATTTCCAATTTCTTGAATTGTGAGTGAAAATAGTAAAAGTAAGTTTGTCATCACAATTATTTATCTACTTCCTATAAAAAAGTATCAATGTTAAGATTTGAACCATGGTCCCTTCAAACAAAAATAACAATAACAACCAATTATACTAAACAAATTTGTTTTATCTTCTTAAATTGTAAACATACACTAAACGAAGATTTGAAAAGCAGAGGACATTTCCATCACGGTTAGCTAGCCTATTAAATCTTCTAAAAAGCAAAGTTTACTATGTGATTTATAATTTTTTATAACTTATACAATTTCAGATAATCTTAAAATTGCAACCCATATTTCATGGCTTGAAATAATGCATATCGAATTACAGTATTGAATATGCAAAAGCCATGCAGAATTCTGTAAATTAACATAAATTTTCATAACTCATCCGAAGCAATAATATTTTGTACAAACTATAGGTGAATGGTTCTCTAAAATTTTAGCCTGATTAACTGCTAAAAATCAAACCTCTTGCTAATCTGCCAATCTGGCATGAATGGACCTACCAATAATGAGACGATATTGAGTTTAATATGATGTTCATTTCGCCATTTCTAGATGTGTTAATCAATTTATAGGACATTAACGTATAAATGAGTTATAATTAACCTCATTATACAATTTTTACTCTTTATAAGAATTAATTTAATTTTAATATTTGTGATGCTTGAAATATTTTATGTATGATTTAGAGGTACACTTATTATTTGTGACATTAATGGTAGTTGGTTCAAATGTAGTAAACTTCACTAGGTAGTCAAAATCGAATACTAGGTGCATTTATGACTTTTTTTTATCTTGGTGTTGTGAATGGGTAGAAACTTAATTATTAGAATGCATATAATTATACCTAGGCACATGGCCGAGCTAGCACGACACAGGTAGCGCATACCATGAAGATAATATATGTGGATCAACCCTTTATAAGCATTAATGCTTCATGGGTCGTACTAGACTTAAACTCCAAGGCTCGCGCACAGGTGCGAGCACCACACAGTCTTATTGGTGAACTCATATTTTATGGAAAAATGCGTCATTTGATAAAATAAAATATCTAAAAACAACATATAAAATTTGAATTAATGAGTAGTTTTTCACATCAACGTGTGACGGCTCATATTCTAAAAGGTTTATAAAAATACATTCATTGTTGATTAACGGCTCAAATCATTCTTGATTAACTTCATAGCTAAAAAGTCTTTTTACAGCTTGCAGTAATAACAAACAACGTCAACAGTAACTTTAGAAGCAAGTAAAGTGAAGAAATTGAGATTTAGTATCTCTTTGTAAATGTGTGTTTATTTGGGGGGAGGGATTTTTTGTCTAAAAATTTGAGGAAGGGGTTGAAAGTTGAAACTCATAAATTGAATAGGAGTATTGAACATTTGGAAGCGATATATCTCTTAAATTAGTATTAAATTTTAGCTGGTTGACCAATAGCCTTAGACCTCTTGCTAATCTAACATGATTGGATCCAATAATCATAAGATGAGATTTAGTTTGATATGCTGGTCCAAAAAAAAAAATTTATGTGTAATTATTTGTACGACAAATACACGTAAATAAGTGAAGATGAACCTGATTATGCATTTTGATTTTTTTGATAAATAAAATGGTTTAAGCGATGAACTAACTATACACTCACTCAATTGGTTTAACGAGTGTTGTTTTTACCACTTTTAGTAATTAGTTTATTCACAGGCTAGCAAACTACTTTGCTCAATCGAGGAATAAGCGACCATCTGTTCGCCAAGTTTTAGGTGCTCTGATTCACACTATCGAATGTAAATGGAGAAGATGCATTTCAAACGCATAATTGGAGAAGTAATTGAGATGTTTCTAAGTTTCTCTCTATTCCAAGCGGTGGGAAGAAAGAGGAAGGGAAGGGGGAGAGTGGTGAGATACAAAGCTCAGAGAGAGATGGAAGAACAAATGAAAAAAGAAAGAGGAAGGCAAAACAGAGTGAGAGGACACATTTAAAAGAGGGAATGATGTAGTGTGCAATAATTGTAATTGTCCTTTGCTTAGAGGATGATATTATATTTGACAGATTTTTTCCACTTCAATAAAAAATCCTAATTTTTTTTTTTTGACAATTCATCTGTAATCCAAAAATTAAAGTTCAGGGATTACATTGGAATCTTGCAAAATAAGAGGGACTAAAATGATAGGTGGTCTTGAGAACCAAGTCTCTGTTTCTTCCAATCGGCATCTCACTCGAGCCATTTCGTGGGCACAAACATTTCCTTCTCTTTTCCAGAACCTCCATTCCGCTCTTCCATCTTCTTCTGCGATCTCACAGATCTCATCGCAAATTGTAGCTACCTCCAGATCTGTGGACTCCCGGCGGTTTAGCTTCTGAATTAGGGTTTGGCAATCGGTTTCCATCAGCAGCGGCTGGGGATAGTGCTGTCGAGTGAGCTTCAAACCCCACATCATCGCCTGTGCTTCGACCATCTCGATTGGCCATCTCGTCTTCGTCCGGTGAGTAGCTCCCATGAGAAAATTCCCAGCACTATCTCTTACAATCATACCATAACCCGTTCCTTCTTCTCCTAGGATCGCCGCGTCAGTGTTCAGTTTGAGACTTCCTTCAGGAGGGGGCTCCCATCTGGTCCTGCCTCGAGTTCGTGACAAAGGTGGTGCTGGGTTTCTTCGATTCTGCTGCTCCACATACTCCTCCAGGTAATTCTGGGCTTTCGCCACAATTTCCCATTCCTCAAGCTTTGGATTGTTAAATAGATGATTGTTGCGCTCCTTCCATAGGAACCAAAGCGTAATTAGCACCTTCGTTAACTCCTCCAAACTTGCTCCTTCAATTAAATCACAGAGCCAGGTTTCGCAATTTTTCCCTTCTCCCATCTTGAAGAAATCAGCTAGCTCACTAGGTCTCCACACTATTCCTGCCCAGTCACATTCTCTGGTGATGTGTTCTTGGGTTTCAAGCAGCCCACAGAAAGGGCATTCATCATGAGCCTCCTTGATTCTTCGACTTAGGTTCGTCCCTGTAGGTAGAATATTGCTGCCCCACCTCCATACAAAGAGGCATACTTTTGGTGGTAGTTCCATCATCCAGATTTTCTTCCATTCTATAGGGACATAGGTTTCCACCTGGTTCGAAGTTTGTTTCTTTCTCCACTCCTTGTAGCCAGATCTTACTGAGTATTTTCCAGTTTTATCTCTTCCCCAAATCTGTATGTCAGGCTTAGGCTGGGGGGGGGGGGAGATTGGAATCTGTTCAATTTTGACTCTGTCATTTGGTTGGAAATGACTTTGTAATGTGTCACTCTTCTATGATCGAGTTCCCCAGCCTATCAAACTAGAAACCTTTTCTGTAATTCCCAGCCCTGTTGCTTGGGATTGGACTTTGAAGTCTCTAGCCTCTGGGATCCATCGATCCCACCAGATTCTGATGCTCTCCCCATTTCCCACTCTCCATCTCGTGCCTTCTTTTACCAGGGATTGGGCCTGCATAAGGCTTCTCCATATGTAGCTTGGGTTAGAACCCACAGTAGCTTCCAAGATATCACAGTGTGGATGATAGCGTGCCTGTAGGACTCTGGCCACCAGTGAGTCAGGTTTCTTTAGTAGATTCCAAACTTGCCTTCCAAAGAGGGCAATGTTGAAACCTTGTAAGTCTCGAAATTCCATTCCACCTTCATATTTGGGGTGGCAGAGCTTCTCCCAACTCATCCAATGTATCCTTCTCTCTTCCCTTTTCCTTCCCCACCAAAAACTAGCAATCATTTGTTGAATTTCATCAATGACACCTTGGGGTATTTTAAACACTGACATGGCATAAAGGGTTTGAGCCT